ATAGATAAACATAAACCTGCGTGAGTTGCACGTTCTGCTGAAAATCTGCAAATGAATAATGAGCTGGAACACTTAACAACAGTTCACGTATCCTTACTTGCATGTTGACCGAAGTTGGGAAACCATCCTATCAAGAAAAGACTCGTCCATCATCTCCAAGGATCCAATGCAGTTCAGATGCAATGTTGTCCTATGGTAATGAACAAATTACATTAATAGTGGACAAAAATAAGATTGAACTGACAGAATCTTGCATGACTCAATCATACATGACACGTTAGTCGCTTAGTGCACAAATAAGGGGAAACAGAGTTCATTAACAACATATTAGACAAACAGAGAGAGAAAAATGGTATGAATCTGGTTGGAGGCTTATCTAATATAGTAGTATGACCTTTCTCACACAAAAACATAAGTACATGAAACTGAACATTTGTCTCCCTCCCAGTCCCATTCCCAAGGGCAGGTGCTGTATGTATGATTAATACAGAGGCATTGCTAACCTAACAGGACTGGCATAAGTTAGCAGAGCCTGTGACTCTGAGCACCAACCAATAGCTTCCCTCAATGCACCACACGCTCAACTGGCCAAGCAGAATCAGAACTAAAAATATGACAATCATAGTAATAGTTCAACACAAATCCTCCAATGACATAACAGGTTAGGTTAGGTGGAACCTTGGAAGTGTTAAACAGTTAGTTCTACAGCATAACCAACATTTCAATAACAAGAAAATAAAAAACTTAGAACTTACAAAGCAATCAATATATCAAGTTACATCCTTACACATATTGCCCATAACAATACATTATTATCTGTAAAATTCACCCGAGAACCCAAGCAGCAACATGCAATTAACAATTGTTTTGCCATAGAGCAATAGGTCTGATGTTGGACAAACATGAGACAGTGCTTCAAAGTGTCATTCACCAAAAAGAAAATTGCACATTACAGTGCCACAGGAGAATCCAAAAAGGAAATAACAAACTAGAAAGACTCAGCCTGCTAGGAGCTGATGGCACCCAATTCCAACACAACTCAGTTGCAGCCTCGCCAACATGTCCATGATGCCTCAATCTGCAGGCCACAGCTCTCAAGCCTGGCTAGCCATGCCATAATGACACTCCCCACTGGCTTATGCTCATCCCAATCGTCACCCACCATGCCTAAGTATTGTGATTTCACCAAGCACTTGCTCAAAAGCCGCCTACCAACACCAATCGAATATAAACCAGGGCAATGCAAATGCATAGTAGATATGAAAGTTGAGCTCTGACCTTAGGATGCATTAGAAAATCTAAGACGGATACAAGGCAAAGACACAGCATCGTCCAATTCCTATGACAACGAATACACTGTACCATAATTCAACAGTAAAACTGAGCTCGATATTAGGCCAAGTGGCCAACCACAATCAAATTGGTCAATCTGAATATCGACTTCTCTTAAATAATACGAGATTAATTCTTTACAGATTTCAGATCGACAGTGGTGAACAAGGGGTGGGGGTGTGTGTGTGTGTGTGTGTGTGGGGGGGGGGGGGGGGGGGGGGGTGGCAGGTAGCCCCATTCCCAAAGTGGAAATACATATCAGGGCGGACGTAGTTGGCTGAACGATTGTACACCCGATACTTCAAGGAAACGAAGCTATACAAGGCATAATACATGTATACACAAATTCGAACACAAACATTAGGGTCCAGATGCTCGGTTTCGAAAAGCAGGAAGGAAAAAGAAGGGATGGGCATACCTAGTGGCTGCTCGTCGCCGGCAAAGGGCCCGGCGACCTGGCCACTGAAGGGCGGCGGCGCTCGCCCAGTCGTCGCCGCGAGAGGGAACAAAATTGTCTGACGTCGGGTTCAGCCACGCCCCTCTGCAAGGGGCATCGGACCCTTGGCACTTGGCTGACTGAGATCGCGCCAGGCTTCCATCATTCCATGCCCTCCACCCTTTGGATGTGCTGGGCCTCGGCCCAACAAGACCACGCCGTTGCTACTGCCGTTTATTTGGGCGCGAGGCTTCTGCTCAAAAAAAAAAAAAAAAAAGGCGCGAGGCTGCGCGTGCTCTCTGTTTTTTTGGCGCGAGGGTAAGCCATCGATGGGAGCTCGGTCGTCTCTTTGACGAACAGGCGCGCTTACTGTTCACTCTAGTCTCTTCGTCCGTGCTCAGATTGCAATGTTGGTGTTTTTTATACGCGACCGTGCTCAAATGAGCCCATTTTTCATTAAGAGTGTAGCAACACAGTTACACAGCACAAGCCACGGCTAACAATACGAAAAGATTAACCGAAAGAAATTGGAAAAGCAAATTTCAGAGAAGGTTACTAATACAGAAAACCGCTTTGCGACCCGTTAGCTACCAAAGGGGCAATCCTTCTAAACCCCGCTGCTAAACCTTTCGAACACACGACTGTTCCTTTCTTTCCAAATGAGCCATGAAACCAGCAGGAACAACACGTCAAAACCTCTACGCAGCACCTTCGGCAACATTTTCCTCTCAGACAGCCATTGATCCATTGTCATTTGTTGATCCTGAGCTGGCTGCGTAATGGCGAGGGGTGGAACGAAGCCTAGCCTAGACCTTGCGCGTGTAGACACATTGTACAAGAAGATGGTTCATCGTCTCCGGTGCCTGGTGGCAGAGGGCGCAAAGGGCGCAATGTTGGTGTTCATAATTTGATTGCTTTTGTCCTCCCTCGTTAGGTTGTGTTGGAATTGATCATGCACCAAAACAAGATCTTGGAAGATTGAAGTAGACATTACCTTTGCCTGGACCAAAACGAAATCCACATATTTGATACAGAAGAATTCCGGTTTGTAGTATTAAATGTAGATGAAATCAAAACTGCACAGTTTGGTTGAACTTTTTTCTCCACAAGATTAGCCTAATTAAGATGTTTCGATAATTCAAATTTTAGTGCCAAATCAAATACCCAAATTAAACCAAAGAAAGATAAATACACATCATCATTAGTTTTTTCGTTTTATAGTATGATGGGTTTGCTTTTTCCACAAGATTAGATAGACTTCGATTGTTCATTTTAGTGCCAAATCAAATACCTATTTACCAAGAAAGATAATATACCGTCATGATTATCTTATATATATATATATATATATATATATATATATATATATATATATATATATATATATATATATATATATATATATATATATATATATATATATATATACTGCTGGCTGGCTATAAAATAACTTATTCTATAGCCACCTTGATTTACGATAATTACTATGTTAATTTACGAGATTATAGTGATACATTTACGATAATGGTTTACTATAATTCAAGATGTAAATACCCCATGTGTTATAGTAAATCCTTACTAGAGAGTTACCATAATTCATGAAATTATATAAAATTATATATCAAATTATCAGAATAAATGGAGGTGGCTGCATGTAATAACTTATTTTATAGCTATATATATATATATATATATATATATATATATATATATATATATATATATATATATATATATGTTTTGAATTAGCCAGGAAGGTAAAATGGTTTTGAGGTTTGAAGAAGATATACAAATAAAAGAAAGATAGATGGAAATGTTAGATCTGCATATATGTTTATGCATACAAAAGTAATAAGAATTAGATTTACAAACTTTTTAAATTGAAACAGACCAAGGTGCAAGAATTGGTCCTAAATCTCACTTGAGTTGGCTAGTCCTCTAAATTGGTGGCTCACTTAATTTAAGTTACACGCTCTATGACCACAATAACTACTTAAGGGCAAGGACGAACGGGAGATGGTATATGGTCAGGAAGCATGTTTATGTATTTTCAAGACAAAATTATTGAGAATCCATTATTTCAACATGCATTGCAAATGCACTGGGAAGAACAAATCGCAAATATATTATGAACTGATACTAAAATGCGCCGTTACTATGCATATTAGGTGGTGATGTCAGTTCTCACACTACTTTTGGACAAAACAAGGAGATTTTTAGTGCTATTCTTTTGTATGATGAGATATTTGAGTCGTTCGAGTTGCTATTTGAGACATTAGGAATGAGACGTACAGCTATGTACCATTCTCCGGCGGGAGAGGGTAGAACTTTGTTTCATTATCTAAACAAAAGAATGAGAAGTACACATTGAGTAACAGTGAACTGAAGAACACATTTGAAATCTGATTTTAATATCATTTCATTTCTTAACATTTCGAAAGAGTAGTGGAGGGTAAAAGAAATAAGCAGCTGAATTTTGAATCTGTATCAAGGAAAAAAATTACCTAGAATCAAAATGAGGACATTTATGCTATTGCAAGTTGTACACAGCTATTATATTTGAAGCTTTTCAAGGTGAATATGAAAGGTCTATGGTAGCCTGCACTATGGTGTTGGAAGACAACGATGAGTACCTTGTCACAGTTGGGAGTCTTAATGAAGATTTTAAGATTTTAGGAGGAGTACAAAGTCATTGGTGACCCTCTACAACAAACTAGTACATGCAGCTGTGATCAGTTCAGTAGAATTGGAATATTGTATGACCGTGTTCTAAAAGTCCTTGATTTGACTAATACCATATCACTCCTTGTTGCACAGTAAGTATTGAAGCGATGGAGACGAGAAGCACATAGTGGAGCAATACAAAGGCAACAAAGGCAGAATATAAGAGAATTCAAGACTAGATGAGTTACTTCGATCTATACAAATATATGACTTGCATATTTCTTATTAGCTTGGCACATCGAGCCGTTAGCCATTTCAGAGTGCACTTGTTAGTAGACAGCACACTTGGTATCCTTAGCAAGTAACTTGAAGAAGAAATCAGTGGTTTTGCTAGTATATGATGTCCGGCCCGTCCCTCTGTACAGCAGATGAGCATAAGTAACATAAACAGAAATGCAGAGACAGTGGTCAGCATGTGGCTTGGCTGATTGCAGAGCAAAAACTCTGTACCCCGTCGAGGCGTCGACACTGACACACTGTAAGTAGAAACGTCTCTGGAACGAGAGGTCTATGCACGGACGCTGCTGCGGCGCGCGTCCTTCGTTGGCTGTTGCTGCTGCTGCAACGGCGAGCGCCTGACCTCCGACGTGGTCCGGCGCAGGAGCACCTCCGCCACGCAGATGTTGAGCATGACGCCTCTCCCGCCGGCGGCATCGCGGCGCCTCGACGACGACCCCGGCGAAGCATCACGGCGAAGGCGACCGCCCCGCCCCGCCGGCGCCGGGGGCACACCTGCTCTCAGGATCTTCAGTGGCTCCGAGAGCATGGAGGTGATGTACGTGTCGAGGATCCGGTTGAGCAGCTGCAGCGGCGACAACCACCGCGGCGCGCTGGCGCGGCGTCCTCGTCGTAGCCGGCCGAGCCTCCAGGTCGCCGAGCCGAGGACCGTTCGCCGTCGGAGCCTGGTCCCTCTCCCCGGCGTCGTCGTCGGTGCCGCCCGCGGGAGCTGCTGGTAGCCGTCGTTGCAGATCCCCCGGCGCGCCCAGCACGAGCGGACGCCCCGGCAAACGCTGGAACCGATGAACCCTTCCATCTTGGAACGACGGCGTGTGCAAAAAAGTTGCTGACTTGTGGGGTGAAGGTGAACCGGCTGATGGCTCGTTGAGGCGTGTATGCTGAGTTAGTTGTTGTGTCATTGTGTGTGTGTGTTCTTGGGGCATTTTTACAGTGTGGGAGTGTGACGTGTGTGCTCCATTTGAGTATCTAGAATAATAGCAACGTTGAACTCGTACCGTCTGCCAAGTGCGCGATGGAGTTGCTTCTGGCCTGGGTCCAGTCGTGCGTGCAAGCTGCTGCGCTGGGATTGACCCGACCCGGTTGTTGTTGCCGCTGCGTGTGCCTGACGGGTGACGGGGCCGGTGGGTAAGACCGAGGGCCGGGCCGGCCAATAACGCTGAGGACCAACGTCGAGTTGACTCGATGGCAAGGACAAGGAGACCCAGAATCCTGATGGCCGCTAAGCGGGGCTTGCCTCTCAATCGCGCTCGCGCACTGCGGGGCAGAGTTGATTTCGCCGGGCGTCCGCGCCACGCATCGCCTGGCTGACCGCGACAAGCGAGAAGCGAGGCGGATTGGAGAGTCACCATGCCCGGTTCCACTTGCACAGAGAAGCCCCTGGGGTGGACTGGGCCGTGCGCCCGTGCCCGAGGGGCGGCTGATGCGGTGTGTGTGTGTGTGTGAGCCGCGTGATGCGTTGCAGGAGACTGGGTCAGTTTGGGCACCCTAGCTAGCCTTGGTCAGCTCAGGACGATTTGCTCATTTGCATCGTTATTACGTGATCATAGGGCGTCCTAGCGCTACGTGAACGAAACGCAAGGAAGATACTGCTGACCTTACTGGTCCGACGAGCGACGCAAGCCGATATTGTGTGTGTATGGGCCTCGTTCTCGCCCTCGCGGTTGTCACTTCAGTTTGCAGCCGGGTGCGATGGACACCATGCTCGAATGGTTCTTCATGCGTGTGCCATTTCCCAAGCATATATGCTTATCAAAGCAAATCTAGGAACACCATTTTTTAAAAGTTCAATCAAAATATAAGAAAAAGAAAACATCGATAAACGAATTTTTCAAATAAAAACATTAACAACACGCAATCCCAACACGAAGCTTAATTTGGTTGCACTTGCACCGGCGTGGTACACGACACGGACGCTTTTTCCACCAGGCTTTGCCAACTGCCAGCCACGCTCCATCATCAGCGGCAACAAAGCACGGCTACGAACTGAATGCATGCTTACTTAGCTTGCCATACATATACTCGATTTACGTAGGATTAATTAATCGAAACGACACGCGCGACTAAAAATAACCACTCAAGCTGCCGCTGCAGGGCGCAGGAGCAGAGCCAGCACCGCGGACGCGAGCGTGACGGCGAGGACCAAACTGGCGCGCCCGCAGCCGCCGCCGTGCCGCCGGGCCGCACCGGACTTGGACTCATGCCCGTAGTCCCGCGGGTACATCTCCCCCGCCGGTGGCCCGTACCCGTACGTGGTGGTCGGCCACGGGTACCCGTACGGCTGCGGCGGGTTGTAGTAGTAGTACCCGGTCGTCGGTGGAGGGTAGTACGCGGGGACCACCACCGGCGCCGGCGGCGGTGGCGAGGGCGAGGGCGGGGGCGGGGGCGGCGAGGGGACTGGCACCGGCTGCTCCGGTGGAGGGTGGTGGGTCGGCACCTCCGGCGGCAGCGGGTGCGGGTCCAGGTCGCAGATGCACATGAAGCACTTGCAGTCCTCGTCGGTGACGATGCCCAGCACCGCCGCCGGGGACGCCAGCAGCATGTTGACCACCACCGCGACCGCGACCGCGACCTGGAGCGGCGTCAGCATTCTGCCTCGAATTGGGTTTCTCATGCTAGGAGCAGCTTTTCTTCTTCCAAGTGGTTCAGTGAGTGATCACTGCCGCGCCAGGTATATAGTGACTTGAGAAGCATGTGCTGGTGCATCTGCAAGGCCTAGTTTTTTCGTGTTGCAGAGTTGCAGGTGGAACGACTACTCGTTTCTGGGGGTTGCGTGCTCTGCTTTAGAGACCAAACCAAATAAACGCTGAGTTTTTTTTTTCACTTTGAGATGGAAGGTGTTTAATCTAATCACTTCTGTTGACTCGCTTTTCTCTCTCGATGGATTACCGACCGATCATCACAGACGAGACAGAGCTACAACTGCTTGGAGTATCAGGCAGCAATGCCGTGTAGTTAGAACGATGACTAAGGTAAGATTCCGGCATAAGCTTCTACTAAAACAAGCATATAAAGTCGTTGGTGCCCTAGATCTATTAGTATCAATGCCGTGTAATTAGAACGATGACTCAGGTAAGATTGATACAAGCGCACGCATGACACGATCGCCGCAACCGGCAACCGCAATGGATGATGATTGAATCTCCCCCAGCCGGAAACATTTTCCATAATACTGCACTCGGTCACAAAATGCTTCAACATGCATACGGCACGATCTTGAAAGCACTAATTTCATTTGGATAAATCTTTTGTAGTACTAATTGCTAAAGACATATTATTTCTAAAAGTATATGTATGATTCTCAACTTCCGCTTAAGAATTAAGATATTACATGTACTTTATAAGATAGTCGCTTTGTTCTTTTATAAGTGTATTCGTGCGGGTGAAACTTTTTTAATTTTGACTAGATTTATTGAAAATATTAGCAATATTTATATCTTCAAATAAGTTTATCATTAAAATAGATTCAGCGATATCTAATGATACTAATTATTTACTATAAATATTATGGTAATGCTATGTGTCTTACGTCCGACGTGAGCATAAATCATCAGACGCTCCCGCAGCCCCCCATCTCATTGCTTGCGCTTCTTACCCCGTTGCTCACTCTGCCGACGAGTCTATATTAAAAAAACACCCATCCATATCCCTTCTGCTTCCTCCTCCCTGCCAGTAGCGCTTTGCGGCTACCCCGTCCTGGACGTGGACGCGCACTCCCCTCGCTACTCCCTAAAAGTGCAATCAAGCCCTAATTGTGGGTTTTGATGATAATGACCACGTAATTAGAGAACTAATGAGATTTATCAAGGTGACAAGCAAGGAATTCATGTTCGAGGATGCTACACGAAACGGAGGAGCCCCCAATTATAAATGTAGATGGCTTCAAACTCAAAGAAGGTTTAAATTTTTTTATATTTTGAATTTGAGGATAGAAAAAGTCGAGGACACAATGCTTAACCTAATATGTGTTACCAAGTGCTCAGACATATACATGCATTCTTAGATTCACAGCTAAGACAGTCTACACTTCACTCTTACCCTTGTCTTGTCTTGCGTGAAAGCAGCATCGCATTTGAAGAGAGGCACTATGAGAAGACTTGAAGAGAGAGGCGATCTTGATCGCCGGCTTGAGCTGCACTTCATGACTTAAGTGACCGTTGGGGTGGAGGGGGTATTTATACCCATCCTCTTCCTCCCCAACGTCTCTCTTCTGGCTCCTGGTCATTCCAGCTCATCCAAAACAGAAAATGAACTCTCTTTCTCTCCCTCCATTGTTGACCTCAAGCTTCCAAGCAAATCCATTAATTTCCCCATCAATCATTGAGGAAAAAGGGTCTAAAACTCGATTAGAGAGTAGCTCCATTGATCCCCCAACTCTAAAGAGCACTTGGTTTACGTTTTGATCGGTGGTTGTGTTTGTTACTCTTGGAGCTTGGCTCCTAGCCGACTACAACATCGCCCATGGAGCTTGTCAACTTGTATGGCAGCGTCGGGAGGCCTATTCACCCCCCTCTAGGCCAATCAGAGATCCTACAAGTGGTATCAGAGCATGTTACCTCATATACGTTTCACCGCGTGAGGTGTGGAGGCCGAATGAGGAACTAGTAACGTGAAGCGGGTGGATGTCGACATGGACAGTAGTGAGCTGAGCGCGTCGATAGTGATCAACACCACGCTACCACATCTTAAGGCTACCGATGCTGAAGGACCTCTCAATGAGAATGAGAGAAGAATAAGGAAAGAGGCAAAAAGCTAAAAAAAGAAGCAAGAGATAAGAAGAAGGAGGAGCGGCGATTAGAGAGAGAAGCAAAGGAAAGAAGAAAGAAGGCTCAAGATAGAAGCAAAAAGAAAAAGAAGAGAAGCTAGGAAGAAGAAGGAAGAAGAAGAGAAGGCAACAAGTGCATCATCAAGCATATCAAGTAGTTCGAAGATAGAGATAATGATGAGTCATACCAAGTATCGAAGGGGAACAAGAAGGAGAAGAAAGAAAAGGACAAGGCCGACAACAACAAATATGCCGCCGTATTCTTTAACTATTCTTCTATTCCTATGACTAACCATGATGGAGGTCTTTCATCAATGTGCCCGCGGACAAGTTACCTCATTTCAATGGAACTAATTTTGCCAAGTGGAAGCACTTGATAAAAGCCTATCTTATAGGTCTTCACCCCGGCATTTGGGAGATTGTTTGCAATGGATTTGAGCCACCGGTTGATCCCAAAAATCCAACACTAGAAGAGACGAGAATCATTCATCTCAATGGTCAGGCCACAAGTGTGTTGCTTAGTGCCTTGGATGGTGATGAGTACAATAGAGTGATTGGAGTTGATGTTGCCAAGCAAATATGTGACACTTTGCTCCTAGCACATGAAGGGGTTGACAAAGTGAGAAAGGCAAGAATTGACTTATTGATATCAAAGCTCAACGGTTTTATAATCTTGGATAGAGAGGGGCCACAAGAGATGTTTGATAGGTTGATGACGATGGTGGGTAAGATTAGAGGCTATGGTTGTGATGAGTTAGATGATCATAAAGTTGTCAAGATTATGTTGGACGCTTATTCACTTAGAAATGAGACCGTAGTCTCTCTAATTAGAGACAAAAAGAAGTACTTCACACCAAATGATGTACTTGGGAGGATCTTGACCTTTGACACGCAAAGAGAAGAAGCAAATGAGAGGAAGAAACTTGGAGAATTGCAAGCAAAGCTAGAGGACATCAAGATCAAAGATGTAGCTCTCAAGGCCAACAAATCAAGCAAGCAAGGCTCTACAAGCAAGTCCAAGATCAACCAACAAGCTTCAACTAGCAAGCCCAAAGCAAGCAAGCAAGTTCAAGAAAGAGTATAGACCACATCATCTTCAAGTGAAAGTGAAAATGATGATGATCAATATGAGAAAGTTGATGATGTTGCTCTCTTTATGAAGAGGTATCACAAGGGGCTAAAGAAGCAAGGCTACAAGGTAGTGAAGAGAAGCTTTCCAAACAAGAAAAAGAGGACATGCTACAATTGTGGAAGCACCGATCACTTCATTGCCAAGTGTCCATATGAGATCAAGGACAACAAATACAAGAAGGACAAGAAAGAGGAGAAGACCGACCGTAAAAAGAGCAAGACGTGCATGGAAGAGGCTCACATTGGGCATGAATGGGACTCAACTAAAGAGAGCACAAGTGAAGAGGATGAGAAGGTTGCAACTATTGCTATTCACAAGTCATCCCCTACACCAAGGTTCTTCAACGACATGTCCGATGATGACTACTACTTCCCTCACATTTGTCTCATGGCAAAGGGTGAGTGGGTAAAATTCAAATCAAAGGCTAAATCTCCTCTACCTCCTAGTGATATCTCTAGTAGTGATATTAGTGATAGCTCTAGTGATGATGAATCTAGTGATGAAGAAATAAACATGATAAATAAAAATTTGGATAAAAATACCAAATTATTCATCACTAAGCTAATGAAGGATTTAGAGAGTGTCTAAGCCGATATAGAATCTAGAGAAGAAACTCTTATCAACAAGAGGATCTCTACATTGCTAGTAAAGAAGCTCTTGTATTAGAGAGAAGTGAGATAGAATTCTTGCGCAAGGCTTTGGCCAAAGAGCAAGAGGACCATGCTATTATAAAAAAAGCAAATAAAGCTTTCAAGAAAAAGTATCGTGACTTGGATGAAAAACACAAAGAACTTGAGATGCAATATGTCATTCTTTGGGATAGCAACTCACATCTCCCTAAGGTAAAGGAAACCTCTACTCCCTCCACTAGTCAAGGTTATGAAAAATGTTTTAATCTTGATTTGAATGCCTATTCCACTAACCTTGCAAAACATGGAGGCTATGAGAAACGAGATTGCTAGGCTCAATGAAATCATTGGAAAATGGTGGATGGATGAGACCCAATCCAATGATAAGAAGAATGATGAATCAAAAGGGGCACAATTCAAGCAAGGAAGGCATCCCTCAATCAAGCATGGTCTTGGACACACAAAAGGAGCCAAGATAAATGAAAGAAGGATAGTGAATGTGAAAGTGTAATCAAGCCCTAGTTGTGGGTTTTGGTGATAATGACCACGCAATTAGAGAACTAATAAGATTTTTCGAGATGACAAGCATGGAATTTATGTTCGAGGATGCTACATGAAATGGAGGAGCCCCCAATTATAAATGTAGATGGCTTCAAACTCAAAGAAGGTTTAAATTCTTTTATATTTTAAATTTGAGTATAGGAAAAGCTGTACTATAAAGGGGACACAATGCTTAAGCTAATATGTGCTACCAAGTGCTCAAACATATACATGCATCCTCAGATTCATAGCCAAGACAGTCTACACTTCACTCTTACCCTTGTTGTTTGCGTGGTGTGGCACTACCGCACTTGAAGAGAGGCACTGCGGCAGTGTGACACTACCGCACTTGAGCCATGGCACTGCCATGACTTAAGTGACCGTTGAGGGCTGGGGGGTATTTATACCCTTCCCCTTCCTCCCCAACAGCTCTCTGCCTCTTCTTCCTCACTCCAGCTCATTCAAAACAGAAAGGAGCCTCTCTCTCTTTCCCTCCATTAGTGACCTTGAGCCCTCAAGCAAAT